TTCACAACATTCATTTTTCCTCCTTTCCTTTACAGTAGCTTTAGAAAATTGCTTTTTGATGATTTGGCAAATTGTATTTATTTTTAAAAGAATCTCATTTATTGAGATTGATAATTCCAGGTTTCATTTGCTTTGAAATTGCATTTTTCAATGGTGAGTTCTGGCAAAATGTGGTTCAACATGCCAGTGAAATAAAGATTTAAAAAAAAAAATCAGTTGACTTACTCTGTAAATACAGTAATTATCTTTCCTACCAAACTCAAAATACAAAAAGACTGAAGTAAAAATTATTAGAATAATTTTAGCAGCAAATTATTTAAGAACAAGACTAATATTTAATATAAAACAATGCATTAAATTTTGCATTTGAAAAATCTTAAAGAATTTTGGTCATTCTCCAAATGCATTTTCTGTCTCTGTTATCAGAGATAGACTATTACAAGTCTTCGATGCTTCTTCATAAATAAATCTTGTTATTCAGACACCAAGTAACTCAAAAGATAAAACAGTCTGATTTATTTTGTAGTATTATAATGTAAAGATGGACCTGAAGCACTACAAAAGAGTCCTGTGCCTTCTGAATGATCACAGCCCAATCACGTTCACCTCAGAAGTAGTTTAGCATTAAGGGCATTTTAAATGAAAACTAAACCTCTGACAATTTGACAGAGATGTAATGTCTCAATAGCAACACTGGTCAATAAAAACATTTTAAAACAGCAATACCAGATACAGAGGGAAAAACCTAGAATTTATACAATATTATTTCTGCTTCTTGAAGTGGGCAAAGTGAGTTGAACTACCAAAACAAAAACTTCCAAAATGAACGTATAATGTGTTAGTTTGTGAAACTTATGTGCTAGGCCTCAAAAATGGTACCAATAAAAATGGTGCTTAGATGTTGTTTAGCATTTTATAAGACAATATGTAACCAGTTCTATTTTCTTAAAGACACCAAAGCATACAACCAGGAAAAAAGAAAGACCTATCACTTGGTATCTACTGTGTGGATGGGGTTATTGTGGGTTTTACAGATCTGCTTATGTAGCCAAGAACCTCTCAGAAAGGTATTTAGGAATCCCAACATATATCCAATTAACCAGAAAAAGAAAATATTCTGGCTGACTTTTTAAATCTCTTTATTTCACATTTTAAGTTATTTTAAAAGAAAAACATTCCGTATTAGCATTAGGCAATTAGAAAATTATCCTATCTTACATCGCCATCTCAGGATAAAGGCTTTTGTATAGCTATAGTCTCAGAATCAAAATTGCCTTCATATTCCTTCCTCTGGACTGTAAAACATAGTTCTAGAGTTAAATCCCAATTGGTTGACATTTAGGGGGGTACACACTCTGCGGTATGGCATAGAATGCTTTAGAGAATAACATTCTCACTCAGCATAAAACTCCAAACAGTGAAAACACAACAAAATATATTTCTAAATGGGTATTTCTAGGTAAGGACAGAAAACTAAGTGGCAAAATGAAATGTAATATTGTTACTTATGGTCTATAAACTATACTCTGACAAACTCTGGCCATAAGCCTTTCCTGGGCCAGAAAGGAAGGCAAGCAAACTTACTTCTCTACTCTTCTCCATTTCCCAGACAACAAATATTCTATTTTTTGAAGTGTGAATTCTAGGCATTCAAGACTTTATATATAAATAAACATTTAAGGTTTAATTCTTCTAAAACAGTTATATTTGCTTCCTGCTTAAAACTTCAGTTAAAATAAAAGGTAGCAGGGTTGAAATACATTTTCACAATGTACACAAAGAAATCAAGTGCAAAATTAAACATAAAAGATGCATTGTCCTTTTAGGTTCTTAACACATACAGCCCTCAAATAGCAAAGTCCTGGTTACTTTTTAAAGTAAGTAGATTAAAAACAAGATTAACCAAATGTCCAACTCATGTCAAATTATAGCCTCTACTAGTTAAAAATTCTGTTGGTTGTAAAACTCTGTTGGTGGCCATATTGGCCTAGGATTTTTAATATAAATGAGACTAGAAATGACAGGGGGGTGGGGGAAGGGACATTCCTTCTTGAATAGTGAAAGAGGGAAAATTTTATCTAGAATGTTATTTTAAAGATGAAAAAGAACATTAAAAGTCAGGCTCTACAAAAATCTGAAAATGTAGCAGAAATGAAAAGACAAGAGGTTATATTTTAGCTTTATTATTAAACATTTAAAAGCATTCTAAACATTTTTGAAGGAGGTAAAAATATTAACTATTTGAGGAAATTATGTAATTGTTAAATAAAAATTTTTCTCATGGTCTCCAAATTGATAAAGACATTAAATTATATGACATAATTTTATGATCACTAAAACAGAGAAAGATGGTGTCACCAGATGGTTGTTATTGTTTGTATATACGTAGTCTTTTTAGTTTTATTAGCATGTACTCTTTAGAATGATGGTCTTTAGCTTTTATTAATGTAGTCAAGTCTAGTTGATTAAAAGCTATTCTATTAATATACAAGTTGTTGAAGATATTTCATTTTTGATGAAATGAAATATCATTTTCATTTTATTTTTGATGAAATTGTTGAAAACAGTAACACTTCTCTTCTACAACTTTTTTCTTAGTTCTGAAAGTATTTTAAAGAATTTTTTTATTTGGAATATTTCAAAAGTCCACTCATAACAATCAATTATACCACCTTTCTTATGTGTTTGAGAAATAATATTGTTTAACCTATAGACTTTTTTGGTTTTTAAATAAAATGATTCCTGGATAAACATTAATTTACTGTTGTTAAAGTTTAAGTTGCTCAATAAATGACCTTCTAGTTGGGAGGCAGATAAAACCAACTGAAAAGTTCCCAAATATAAACATTTCCAAACTGGATACTAATCACCTTTCCCACCATTTGTAATAAGAAATATGACCATTTTGGTTAGAAAAAGTAATTAATCAATGCCTAAGTGTAGAAAGCTCCAGTTTTAAGAAGACTGATTTAAATGAATAAGCAGTAACAATTTTAACTGAGGCTTTATTACTTGGTCATTGGGCTGATTGACTCAATATTCATGTGTGAGGGCTACTAGGAGTCAATAGATGGCAGTCCATAGCCTAGTAAAAGAGCTGAAGATGACTAAAATCACCATGCATCTTGTTTTTATTCAAGATTGAGCATTGCTTCATTGCATAATTTGGATATTGTCCATAACTGATAATTTAAATAATTACTTGACTATTTTATTTTAGAGACACTGATACATGCACACGTGTTCATAAACATGCTAGTTTTATATTTATACTTGCATAAACATTATTAATTTCAACTTGATAATTTATAAACTGTGATGGCCACTTCAATATTATTTTAAAAAATTAACCAGGATTATAGATTGGAGCAAACAACATTTTCAAATTGAATTTGTTACACCTATAAATAGAATATATTGTAATTCCTTAAAAAGTAAATTTATTTTTTCATTTATTTTTTCCTAACGATTATTTCTAAAATTTATGTTTCTGGACAGCTAAAATATTAAGCAAACCTTCAAATATTTCTGTTAAACTGAAACTAATTTTTACCCTTTATAGTTATATAAAAGAACACAGGTGTAAATAATCAAAAAGAGCAGCTTTAAAACAATGCTTCCTATACTTCAGGATTGGAATGCTTTAAATTAGGAGAAAAGCTAAAATAAATGCAATGTCAAAACTATAAGGATATTACTTATACAGTTATAAAGAGTGGCTCTGTGATCTCGAAAAGTATAACACATATAATTAGATTATAATTAAGTTTAGGCTATAAGAATTTCAGCATATTATGTTAGGATTAAAAAATCTGTTGCATAAGCACAATGTATTTAGATGAATTATATCTCTAATATATATGTGTTACATACATGGGTATGTATATATTTTTGGGTATAACACTTAAGTTTTTAATAAACCCTAATTTAGGATTTGAGGAACAGTTGAGGAATTGCTTTCTACTGAAAATCTTTAAATAAATTAAATGGTAATCACAAAATATGAAAACAAACCACCTTGTATAATTTATGGCCTCTTGGGCCTGTGACAGACAGACAGATAGGTATTTTGAGTCTACTTGTTGGTTTACTTTTTTTTTTCCTCTAAGGAGAATAAGAAGAAAGTCATATTTTGAAAGAACTTTGCTTTGTATTTTTACAATCTGTCTTTGTGTAAACAAAACTTTTAAACATGCTAAACCTTAAGGAACATGTTTAACAACTTTTAATTAATATATGTTATATAACTGTAATAATTAAAAGAATAATGGTCTCTTGCTCAGCACAACATATTTAATACAGTAAAAGAAGTGAGTAGTAGGGCTATGGTGAATTATTGAAATGATTTAAGCTTAATATTAAAAGTACACCAACTTCATAATATTGAGCACCAATTAGCTTCTCTAGCAAACTATTTTCTACTTCTACTTAGCCTAAAATCACAGTAAAAGGAACCTAGGAATTGAATAACTTGAATGGTATTAAGCAAATATTTATACATTTTGAGTAAGTCAAGAAGGGCTTAAGGATATGACAGCTGAATTATTCTATATGAAATATACACTAAGCGTTTTCTAGGTTCATTGAAAAATATGAGTAACTGTTTCAGTAAAGGCAACTGATGATACTGTGGACTGAATGCTTGTGGACTGTGGATAATACAACATTTTAAAGACACTGGATTATTACTCTTTTTTATGGCTCCCAGTATACTTTTTCCCTTTAGTTTAATGAATCTAGTCTGAAAGACTAAGAGATACCATGATGTAATCATTAAATGATGTGAGTAATAAAAAAAATCAAATTCCTTTAAGAACAGGAAGATAGGGTAGGGGGCAGTGGAAAGAGAAAAAGTATATTATTGGTTTCTCAGTACAAAAACTCTTCAGATGTTTATTATCTTCCAGCAGAAGATGCTTGTCTATATTTTATGGTCAGCAGTTCAGAGAAGGGTAAATAGGCTAGGTCTTGGGGAAAATAAAAAAGGTGTTTCTACTCACTGTTAGGTGATACTGCCTCCAGATTTCTGTGCAAGCCTGGAAAATAAAAATATTGATCAGCTGGGAGCATGAAACAAGGTACTTTACAGCCTGTTGGTTTTGGCATAACCCAGCATCCACTGGTGTCGGTCACAGGAAAATAAGAAGCTTAACAGAAAGGGTCTGCATTTCAGCTTCAAAAACCTGGCTAGACAGTTTAATTGAATTTTACACTGGTTTAACACACTCTCTGCTATTGTCAGAAAGCCAGTAACAAAGTTTTCTCTCTCTTTTTTTCTTTTCAGGTTAGAAGTTTTGGGCACTAAGATGTGATAAAGAGCCACAATTCGGTTAAACTGATAAATGAACAGCAGTGGTCAAAATCAATAAAACTCAACAAGTACACCTTTTAAAACAACATTTTGAACTTCGGTAGTAAGACGGAAAACAATTTAATAGTAACTGCTTTAAGAAGATCTCACTGTTGTTATATTTGTGATATCTGTTGGCATCTTTTACCGAATCACTTGGTGCTAACTTTCAGTACTCTATAAGAAAGAGAAATAAAAACAAGAACAAAAACGTCTGCAAGTCCATGTTTCTTCCCTTAAATGTCGAATCTTTCCACATCCACATCTGTAGCAAAATAACCTTAAAAAACCCCAAAACCTCGATGATCTTGTAAAAGATATACTTATTGAAACCAGAATAGGTAACAACAAAAGAACCAACCAAACAAGCAAATATAAACAATAGCAGCAACAACAAAAACCAGTGATTAGGATATATTTTCTTACGAATACATACATAAATCTACTTATACCTAAATTATGACCTTTTTAAGGATACCTTTTCTAATCAAGCTACCTATGTATAGTTGATCGGTTTACCACCTTCTCAGGAGCAAAAAAATGTTGTTTGTAACTATATACATGACCTAAATAAGCAAAGGAAATGGTAATTCTTAAAGTGAATAGGAATTTATAGCTTTTGTTTATAGATGCATGTCTAAAATTAGAGTAAGACTTTTTGAAATCTTCCTAATTTTTGACATATACTTTGATTCCACTCCTTACTGATTTGTCCTTCCTCTTTCATTTATTTTTCAAACTACTGATAAGACTAACAAAGATAATTAATACAATCTGAAAATATCATGGGTATAATAACTTAAGAGAAAAATATTTAAATGCCATTTATATATTATACCACCATAAGTACTGATTATACTCTACTACTGATTATACCACCATAAGTGCTGAGACAAAATTGTAGATGTTTCAACTATGCTGAAAAATTTTATCCTTCATGCATTTTAAGATTAACTTTCCTGTGTAATTTCCTATAGAAAGCTGTGTAGACCGCTTTCCATAGGAAAGTCTGTTTAGTGGTCAGCTTTCCAGTTTTAATGTCGAATTCCTGGAAACTAAAGTGTCTTACAAAAAAAAAACCCCACTTATACCCAGTGATTTCTGGATGAACAACAGTGATGAAAAGACAACTATTAAAATTAAAAGGTTGATTCACAAGGCCAAGATCATGTTGGTGCCAAATGTAGCCACAAACTTGTAGGTCACAAAAGTTCTTAAGAATATATACAAAAAAGATCTATTTTTACAAACATGTATGCACACAAAGACCTAATGTATAATATATTCTTAAATATTCATTTCCTACCTTCTATCATAAGCTTTTTGCTGTATATATATAATTTGAGTTGGATTGTAGAAATAAGCAAGCAGTTATTTATACATTAGTTATGGATAGTTCCTGATTACCACAGTGTCCTCAGAATAATACGGTTGAAAAATCACAATCACTGAGTTGTCATACACTGGCAGAATGCCACTCTACCATGTGACCTTTTCTTGTGTTGCAGCAATTTAGTAATAAAAGAAAGAATTACTTGGTTTTTGAACAATCATCTGATTGCTCTGTACATGAAGATGATGCCCGATATAGAAAATTAGTAGTGAGAGACATGAAACTTCTTTTCATTTTTAGACAATAGTATTATAATTTTAAAAAACCTGACTTGACTGTATCATAAGTATTTTTACTCAACACTGTCATGCATAGTTTCATTTTGCTATTTATTTGTAATACCTATTTCTATTTGAGGTTAAAAAGTAAACAAATATTTTTTATTTCAAACTAGGTGTCACTATAGCACATACCTTTATTTGTAACTAGGTATCATCAATGAATTTTTAAAGCCTGAATTTTTCTTTTTGTTTGTTATGGCTTCAACTTTTATTTTTTTTTATCATTCCCTAGTCATTGCATGTATTTTTCTTTTTATCAAATAAAATGCCATGGCACCCAAATGTACACATCTATTGCATGGAAAATTAAATACCTATTGCATAATATAATTTCTAAAGCAAGAAGCTTACTATTAGAACTAACTTTGGTTTAATTAAAAAAATATTTAAAATGAATTACTAGTTGGCTGTGGAACTCATCTAAGATGCAAATACAACAAATTATGAAAATACAATTGCATTTATTGGTTACCCTGGTGATCTCACCTTACTGGCACTTAGACGGATGGCAA